TCTTCCTAATATCTAATCTAAATCTCCCCTCTGTCAGTTTAAAACCATTTCCCCTCATCCTATCACTACAGTTCCTGATAGAGTCCCTCCCTATCTCTCCTGTAGCTCCTTTAGGTACTGGAAAGGGCTATAAGGTCTTCCCCGAGCCTTTCTCTTCTCCAGAAGCCTTTCTCTTTTCCAGGCTGAGCAACCCCAACTCTCTCAGCCTGTCTTCATAGCAGAGGTACTCCAGCCCTCTGAGCATCTTTGTGGCTTCCTCTGAACTTGCTCCAACAGGTCCAATAACTGAAAACTAGACAGTCAAACCGAAGCAAAGGGTGCAGCAAGCTCACTTGGCCTACAAACACCAAAGCCAGATAAACACCGAGACAGAGCATAGGCAGAGGCAGCTGCAGGGCTGGAAGCCAAGGCAAGAAGAAGGAAAAAGAAGCTAGTGCTCTACCTTGCTGCACTGGCAGCAGTTAGTTCAGCTCAGCCACACTGTGAGCCTGTTACAGGTACCTCCAGTAGTGCAGGGCTGGAACATCTCTTCTCTGAGATCTTGGCACCAAAGAAAGCTCAGCTGGAAAGAAGCTGAAACGCTGCAAAGCTATGGTGCCTGCTTAGGACATGTGCTCTTAATGTGCTTTTGTGTTGGGAAGAGGCTTGCTGAAAACCTTCTTCAAAAGACTTCTTGTTTCTTCAGCAACATCCTTGCTTACAAACACCAAAGCCAGATAAACACCGAGACAGAGATAAACACCAAGACATAGGCAGAGGCAGCTGCAGGGCTGGAAGCCAAGGCAAGAAGAAGGAAAAAGAAGCTAGTGCTCTACCTTGCTGCACTGGCAGCAGTTAGTTCAGCTCAGCCACACTGTGAGCCTGTTACAGGTACCTCCAGTAGTGCAGGGCTGGAACATCTCTTCTCTGAGATCTTGGCACCAATGGAAGCTCAACTGGAAAGAAGCTGAAACGCTGCAAAGCTATGGTGCCTGCTTAGGACATGTGCTCTTAATGTGCTTTTGTGTTGGGAAGAGGCTTGCTGAAAACCTTCTTCAAAAGACTTCTTGTTTCTTCAGCAACATCCTTGTACTGTGGGTCTTCCAAGGGTTCTCACGCATTGGGATATTAAGAAAGGTGAGAAGCTGCTCTGGATTAGGTCATGCAGCTCCTCTAATAGACTTTGGAAGGAGTTCTGCCACTCCCACTGATATTAGTGTCCAAAGTTGTCCTTAAATAAAACCCCATGAATGTATAGGCTCTTGGCATTTGTATTTCAAAAGGCTGTGATAGTATCTCCAGTAGCATGTTCCCAAAGCATTAATCTTTGTAATTTGAAAAGTGGCATAAAAATACCTGAAAAAAGGAAACAAGAAATTATAATTTTGTTACCTTATAAAGGGGTTTAAACAGTAGAGCATCACTGTAAAAAAGGTGGAAGAAAAGAATTTTCAAACTACGAAGTAGACGTGCCTAAAATGTGTACTATTATGGTGTGCGGGTATTGTTAAGTCATAATTACCAATTTACAAGTTACATGATTCTTTGGTGCATTACAGGAGTAGATATATAGTTTTCAAGAATTTATTAATATATTGTACTTTATGTTAAAAAAAAGTATTGTTTCCCTTTTTTTCTAGTGTAAGAAGTCTACTTTGCTGTGGATCTTAACTGGATATTTCCATTAGGAGAAGATCGATAAAAACATCAGGTGTAAGAAGTCTACTTTGCTGTGGATCTTACTGGGTATTTCCATTAGGAGAAGATGGATAAAAACATCAAGTGACTTTCAGGTAATCCTGTTTGGTTGGTTTGTTGTTTTCAACAAATAATGCACAAAGGCCTGAGTGATGCATCGCAGGAGAAAGTGTTGCCCATAAACAGCTTCTTGCCAGCACTGAGTCCAGAAGCATTTCCTTGGTGAGATGCCACTGGAACCTCTGAGCAGTTCTTTTGCTCCATCCCTTATCTGCAAACCCAGATCTGCCCTCAAACCAGAACTTTAGCCTTTAGAGTAACATGAGCTGCCCCAACCACCACGTCTTCATCCCACATTCCGGATTCTTTAGGTGGATTCCATCATGCTGGATATAGATGTCCCAGCAACAAAGCTGTTGTACCACTAATTCCAAGTTGATTTCTTCCCTGTGTAGTAGTATTTAATCATAGAATCATAGAACTGTCTAGGTTGGAAGGGACCTTTAAGATCATCTAGTCCAACCATCAACATAACTCTGAGAAAAACATCACTAAACCGCATCACTAAGCACTATGTCAATCTGTCTTTTGAACACCTCAATCTGAATGACCACCTGTAGACTACACTTGAAAATAAGTATTAGTGCAAGTACATACATTTATTCTTTGAGTTATTATTCTTTGCATTGTATTAAAATGCAGCCTACAGGAAACCACTTTTAAACTAGTAAAATGTAATTGTAAAACACAAATATGTCTATAAAGCCTTCCAGATCCAACATGATGATTCAAGTCCAGGGCTGCCTGGGTAGGTAGTATCAGATGCAACATGTCTGAGCGTTCAGGTGACTTCTTTGAATATGACAGAAATTTTTACATATTGGAAGTGAAACTTGTGCTTTTAGGTTTTACTGGACGAGGCTGAAAGCTGCCTCTACTGCTTATGGGTATGGAAAATAAATACACTGGTGTCCTTCTAGGCCTCAGGGACTGGCCACCTTCATGTGACATTAACCAAGACCTTTGTTGGCAGTTGCAGCAGATAGGTCAGAACCTCTGTAGCCACGGCAAGTTAACTTTTCTGCCCGTACATCTGAGTTGAATCAGACCAGTGGGCTGTGGAAAGTTATTTTTTTGTTGTTAACCTCTACTGTGGACAGAGGATTTCGTTTTCAGGGTTGTTGAGACAGCTGTCTCCATGAGTGCAAAATGCAAATGAAAAATGTCAGAGAATTTCAGAAGGTTGTGCTTACTGCAGCTTTCCATGACAATTACAGTAGGCATAACTTTTATCTAAACCCAAGTTCTGTTTAGAGCTGCTCTCGCCCATTAATTATTTTAGCAGCCCAAGACAGAGCAAAAATTCTGGCAGGATCCTGCAAAACTGATTGCTTCATAAACAGTCTCCTCTGAGCCATGGCTTAGTTTTGCAGCTCTTGATGAATGTGAAGCAGAGGTAAAACACATTCTCACTGAAGTCTGAGCTTCTTCCTGCCACCAACAGTAGGTCTTGAACTTGGCTGTAGTGAATCACAAGATGTACCAGAGAAAAAGTAAATATCTCTGAGGACTGAAAGGATAACTGTGCAACCGTCCAACTTTACTTACTCACTGGCAGTAGCAAATGCCAAAAGATGATAATGTATGCAGTGAATCACATCAGCCATAACTACAAAGGAAACATATTTCACGGTTGGTTAATTCTTAATTGATTCTGATAGCTCTGGCCTAAAATAGAGAGCAAAATATGCCACCGATCAAGAGTCTTGTGAAGTCCACACTTCACACAATTCATGCAGTTTTATGGACACCAGCCAGTGAATTTTCAAGCAGAAGATGGTATCTCCAACCCTCATTTCAGACTGAAGTGAACCGAGGGAAATGGAAAGATGAAAAACTCCCAGGAGAGAACAGTTTTCCTCCAGTTGATGGTGTCACTGTGATTATGGTCATACCAGCCACTCCTGCCAGATGACAGCAGTTGGGCTGTGAGAGAAAGGAGAGCAGAAATGGCCTAGAACAGGGGAGGAAGGAAGCAGAAAGGTCCAATCCAGGGATGACACATATTCCATTAAGGATAGTACAGCTTCTGTCTCCTCTACAGCTTCTGTCTCCTCTAACCAAAGAGTTGGCATGAGAAACCTCATGATGCTGAAGGATCTGGCCATGCCTTAGCGAGAAAGCAGCAGGAGTGGAACAGCATTGGCAGGACTGGAGCTGGTACCTCTTCTTCCCTCTCCTTTGGGGTAAAATGCATTCACATTTTTTGGTGGCCCCGTCTTATTTTCAGCCTGTTTTTTAGCTTTCTCCAAATAGCTCAAGCGTGCTCTGTTCTCTGCAGGCAAGAGAAGGATACCTAGGGACCTTCTGCTGCCCTTGCCACGGCCTTTGTGCTGTTTGACAGATCTCCACATTTGTTTCTTATCTCTTGATGAGGCCAGCCCCTATTTCTAAAGAGTCACTGGAATACCTTGGTTAATGCAGAACACCTGGGCATTTTAGAAGCCTCAAAGGCTGTGGTTTATCAGAAATAATGCATTAGCATCTCTGGTCACTTGCCCATTGGCATAAACACTGGGAAGTTTCTCTTTTTGCTCAGAAAATGATAGTGATTCAAAGATGGTTAGAAATACCTGTTCTTCACCCTTGTGCAGGTAAGCTGGCCTTGTGCAAGGCCAGGCTGGATGGGGCTTTGAGCAACCTGCTCTAGTGGGAGGTGTCCCTGCCCATGGCAGGGGGGTTGGAACTGGATGATCTTTGAGGTCCCTTCCAACCCAACCCATTCTATGATTCTAAGCTGGGGAAACCAGCTCTGTAGCATTTCTTTTTGCTTGGAGAGGTCCCACATCTCGTGGACCAAGCAAGGGAAATGGATGGGATGGTTTCAGACATAAGTCTGAAAATTGCACGTCACAAAACATCTCCCCTCGTGCAAATCTGAGGATGCAGCAAAACCCCAGAATTACAGAAAGACAGACTCCCAGAGCCTGAGATAAACAGAATTCAGTGCTTCAGTCTCAGTAAGTGCAGCTTTTGTCTTTGAGATGCGGCACCCGCTGGGCCAGGGAACAAGGAAAAAAAAATGGGGGGGGAGGCGATCTCAGACAGAGCTCCCTTTATCTTTCTGGCCTTATCTTTCCCGAAAGACAGGACAGAGCGATGTAAGTGTAGCTAAGGACGCACACCGCCGCAGAGCCGCCCCCGGGCCGTGCTTTTGGTCGCCCGGGGGCGAGGGGGACGAGCCAGCGGCGGGGAGCGGGGTCCCGGCGGGGCGGTGGCGGAGCATCCCCGGCGGCGGGCAGCATGGCAGCGGCCGGGGAGGTGGAGCCAGCCGGCAGGGAAACACCGGCACCTTATCCGCTTTGAATAAATCCTCCCCTTTCCCTTCCTACCTGCGCCGGAAAAACACGAGGAAAAAAGAAAAAAAAAATTTAAAAAAAATAATTTGTTTTTTTAAAGCAGGGCTGGCAGGAGGAAATAGGAGAGAAGGCAGGTGCGTAGGGCTGCCTCTGCCGGCTGCGGGAGGTGGATGAAGAGCTGCCGCCATGGAGCACATCCGGATGCCCAAGGTGGGTCCTGGCGGGCGATGGGGAGAGGTGGCCCGGGGCCCTGGTTCTCCGCAGCATCCCTCCCCGCAGCACACATCCCTCTCCCCAGCCTCCATCCCTCCCCACAGCCTCCCTCCGTCCCCCCAGCTTCCATCCGTCGCCGCCGCCTTCCCTGCCCACCTCCCAGGGCCTGAGCTGTGCTCAGCAATCCTCTGCCTGCTTTGGAGCTGCTGTGAGGCTTTTGGGTTTCTTCTTTTAGCCGGTTTGCTGTGAAATCTGCTCAAACACATCTAGAGGTGGTCGCGTTGTTTTGCGATGGCGGCTGAGGATTTATCGGGCATTTTAATTGCTTTTTATTCAGTCCCTTTTATTAACAGAGATGCTCTCCATGAGTTGTAGGTATCCAAAATGAGAGCTGTGCTATCGGCTTTTCTGATGCCTTTAGTTTACCCCAGTCTGTCAGACCTGGTGCTGGATTTGTTTATGTTTGTATACCGACATTTAACCACTGTAATCATTCTTTTTATACATCTTTCTAAGCATGAGGCCTGTACTTGTTAACAAAATTGCCATCTTGCTCTGAAAAACAGGACAAAGTTTTGATACGCAGAAAATGTATATTAAAAATAACCCTAAACAATGAACCTAAGCAATATGTTAATTTGAAGTCGGGGTGGGATATGTTTTCACATTATTTATTTATTTGTGTACCCAAACCTTTGCAATTAAGAAGTTATTTGTTTTTGATTTGTGCCTATTTATTATTATCTAGTATGATGGCATGAATTTTAGACTAGGGACTCTTCACACTTAACGTAGATTTTTGAGCCTTTAGGTGCTAAGCTGCTGATATATTAAGAAGATTGGCATTTATAACAAGTGCCTTTTCTCTCATCTCATTTCATGATCTGTTATCTGCTCTTGTGGAAAGGAAGAATATCAGAACAGTAAGAATGTATCCTACCACAGGTAGGATGAAAGTTGTCTGAACAGATGTTTCTGACCTTTCAGCTGAAGAATGCTGAAAGCATGAATGAGGAAAATAGTGAAAACAAATTAATAAAGGTAGAAAAAAAATCTTAAATGGTTATATTTGCTGAGAATGGAAGGCCCAGGCAAGTCGCTGTTGCCAGCAATGGCAGCTGATCTGTTAGCTTTTCTACAAGCAAGTCCTTAAAAGGTTACTATTCATACGTAAATCCCATTTCTGCATCAGAGAGCTGTGAGAAGGCGCTGCACTGATGACTCAAGACACTGAAAATCTTACTCAGTGCAAGGTGATTCTGCAGTCTTGGTTCCTGGCATTTCCTTACGTTATAGCTATGCTGGAAGTGATCTCTCTAATATAATACAGCAGTTTAGAAGCCATGATTTAAAGGGACAATGTAGAAAATGTAGAAAATCTAGAACATTCATCATGAGTAGGTATTGAAATACTCCGTCTCCAGTTACTCCTAAATACACTGACAAGTCAGTGTACCTACAGTTACCCAGCAGAACTGATAGGTCTGATTTGTTTGCTCAAAAGACCTCAGCTTAAAATCAGCCACCAGAACAGTGTTGGGGGGTTTTGTTTTTACCGAATTTGGTTCTTACTGAATTTGTTTTGATAAATTTGAATTTAATATTAAGTGATTTCCAATGCCAGCAATGTGAAAATAGCTAAGGGAAAGCTATGTGAATATAGGGATATTCTCACTGTATCATGTGGTAATCTCTGGTATCACATTTCCTCACTCCATCCAGTTATGCCCTGAAAGAAATTTTATAAGCAACTGCCCTGCTCTTTAAAGGTATTACTCTCAGAATAATGACACTTTCCTTGATTTGCAAACCCAGCCAAATGGAAAACAAAGATAAATGCCATCCTTAGAAAATTTTTCTGAATATTTCTGAAATGGTGTTCCCTAAACTTTCTGGACCTTCCCTGGACCTTCTGGATAGCCAAGTCCGTAACACACTGTTTTATGTACCGAATGCTATTGTTCTATCATTATACTATTGGTAGAATGCAGAGTGCATGATTGGTGTGTGCTTATATATATGCAGTGATGATGTTTTCACAAAGTAAATGTTATCCTACGTATGATGGCTGTAATTTGAGCACATTTAAAGAATTGCTCAGTCACTCGTTGCTAAATAGAATAATATAGAACTCCAGTAATCTTTTAAAAATTACAAATTTGTAAAACCACTCTCTGCCACTCGTGTGGATTGAGCAGCAAGATAGTTTAGGACAACTGTCAAAACCCAAAATGTGACAAACTGCTCATAACAGTCATAGAAAATGAATAGGCAATGCTAACGTGTAGAGATATGTCTGGCCATGGACAGGTTGACAGAAAAGACCTCTGAAAATGTGTTTACTTGATAGGGGCACTTCTTGCACTGTTGCTAATTGTTACTTGATTATATTTACCGCTGTTCCCTATCATTTGTCTTTGCACACTGGCAGCAGTCCTCCTGAATGCTCTTCTTATGATAAAGAACACATCAGATTTATCCCTGGTGTAACAGCTGTCCTCAATGGAGTTAGCCCAGAAATTCATTTGGCTCAGTATCTCTTGTTAACACAATACTTGGGATGGCTTGAGTTGCTTGAGTGCTTTCATTTTTGTGATGTTATGGCAAGGTATTTCCTTTCAATGATTCCTTTCTCAGGCAGAATTTAGGATACTCTGCCATTTCTCATGATAATGACAAATCTCTCTACCAGATGTATTACTTCCCAAAACAAATTTCCAGCATGTGTAGATGAGTTGTCTTTCCTTTTCTTTTCAATCTATTTTCCTTTCCCTAGTTCTTGTTCTTCATTCAAAAAGTTTTATAACACATGTCAGTTTTCCCAAAGTCTCCCATCAGGAAACCCATATCATTTACATCCCCTTTATATAGGACACATGCAAATAGGAAAATATTTGTCCCCATACTCATCTAAGCCAATGGCAAAACTGAGCCAGCACGCCTAATATTTACTCTCCAACTACATGTTCTGGGTTGCTGGATCCCCGCCTTTTTTAAGCTAAGATGGCATTTCTACCATTGCTCTCTCTGTGCCTTCTGTTGGAATAAGAGGTGCTGTTACAGTTAAGTTCTCCATTTTCAGGCTAAAACTCCTTTTGGAAAAGTTTGGGTTTACTTCAGTGATGTAGGAAGGTGGCAGCAGTCCCGAGGCAGTACCAGGAGCCACCTGGGGATGGGGGCTGGCTGTTTCCCAGATAAACTTTTATTTAGTTTGCTACTTGGGAAAGGTAGAGGAGGTGAGGCTGGCAGGGCCCTTGCCCTTTATTGGTGTTTTGAGTCATCAGCTTATGGTAGACACATCACTGCAACCTCTTCTAAGTGCCAAGTTGATTTTCTGCTTTTCAAGTATTGTGCAAAGGTGGTTTCTGTTCTTTCCTTTAAGTACACAGCCTGCAGCAGTGCACCTTACAGCTCAGCTGGTGCTTTCTGATTCCAAAACTGTTTTCTCACTTTACATCATGGTTAGGAAATGTTCAACCTATTCTGGGGCTGGTGACATTGAATGACTTCAAACATGTCATTCGACTTGACTGCTTGTACTCAAAGTGATGCATTAAAACATCTACACTAATTCTGGACACTTTTGACTCTGGTTTTGAGCATTACAGGTTGTTTTTTTTTTGTTAATAAATCTTCCCTAGTTAGAAAGCAATTTAGTTTTCTTTGAGTTCCATTTATTCTATTTTTGTGCTGTGGAACTTTGAGCACAAATGGTAAATTTAATGCAAATGAGCTTTGTAATATACGATGCTGAAAAGCATTCTGTGGTTTGGCATTCAAGACTGGAGGTGGATAAAATTAAAATAGGAACTGCAGAGGATAACTAGGTGGTGTGGGACTGGATTTAAAATCTCAGTTTGGAATTTGCTCCTAAAATACTTGTTTTGAATTAGAGTCATGAAGGAACCCGCTCATTAGTGTCAGTTTACATTTAAACAGAATCTTGTAACAGCCATTATTCTCAAAAGATTTAGTCAGAAAATGGTCAAAAGGTCAGGCAAATCATGGTTATTGTGCGTTCATGATACCCATTTAATTAAATTCCAACTCAAGGGTGGTTTTTTTCTAACCTGCCTCAGAGAATTGTGGACTTTTAAACTTCAGCTATATTTGACTGGATGTCAGAACCACAGCCTGATTACAGCATGGACCACAAACTTGATACAAATGATATTTGCAGTTTATGTCCCATAGATCATGTTTTCATAGCTAACCTGACTGCCATCCAGTTAGGGATTGCTCATCTCAGTCTCGGTTTTTTCATCATCTTTATCATTTAAGCCACTCAATATGTCTTTTTGGGATTGGAGAAGATCCAGAGCTGTCTTTTATTTGGGTGGGTTTCAGGATAATTTCATTATTAGTAAAATTAAACTAACTCCTGCTATAAAGACATATTGCAGTGTAATTTCAGTGAATCACAGAACCAGAATTGCTCTTCAGCTCTTGGATTTCCTCCTCCCCCAGATCATGGGTTTAGCTTGGCTCATTCTCACTGTATATATGTGAATACCAGACTTTGTCTTGTTGTATTGGAAGATTTTGGCTGCTTTTTAATTCCCTGAGCAGTATTTCCCTTTTTTTTTGTTCACTGATCTGAATGTTTTATTTCTTTTTTCCAGGCTTGTCAGGTTGTAGTGTTGCTACTTTCCTTCTTTTGGAGTGTTTGTGTTGGACTCCACCCTCTTTCCATTCTTCAGCTCTCATAATTTCATTTTTCGTTACCAGGAACTTTTCAATTAAATAATTTTAAATTGACATGTTCCTATTTACCAGACCAAAATGAGTCACAGAAGGCTATTGTTGTTGCTGAAGTTCTGTGAAAGCATCAGCGGGGTTCTGATGAAAATGTGCCTGTTTTCCTGGCTGTCTACCCAGGAGATTACTGAGAATTGTCCTTCCTTCAAGTCAGCAGTGAAATTGGAAACTTTGGGATTTCTGAGCTCCACAGTCCTAGGTCAGTTCTTCTGGAGACCTACCCATAGCTAGCTCTTGGT